CCCCAAAACCCCAAAACCCCAAAACCCCATCAAGGTAGAGTCAATGGCAGACAGTATTTTGATAAAATATTGCTGTTAATTACAAATATATAAAATGGCACTCTATCAACAATCTCATGCTTCAAGGAATCCCAGATTGACGAGCTCACAAAGTACAAAGACTTTAAAAATTCCAACTACTTAAACTCAGGAAAAATTACTTGGAATGAAATAGGCTCCAAAGATTAATCATTACATGTAGAAAACTCCATCGTAATAGTCTTTGAATCATAAAAATCTCAAAAATATACATCATACTTCCACAAGAAATAACTAGTCGAATGAAGGAATGAAAAAGCTACTGAGTTCTTGTGAAAATTTGAAGCTAAATATATCTCCATAAAGATCTCTAGCTCTAGATTAGATAAATTCCTTCAGCACCCATTTTACTCTGTAAGGCAGTCAAACTACTCGTACCACGACTGCAACTGCAATTGCAAACAAAGATAAAGTTTCACAAATTCCCCTCAATCAAAAACAGCAATAATCAGCTAGACTTTTTAAAACTAAAGCAAACAGTAGAAATGCTATGAACAACTGCGTGACATAATAATCTCAAGATTCTAACAATAACTGCATCTTTAACACGATACTGGACCTTAATTTACCTATTAAAAACTCGTTGGTTTTGCAACTTTCTAAAAAGGATTGCAATTTGCCAAAAGCAAAATAGAATAACAACACTAAGAAGGAATAGTAAAAGTTGTTAAATAGAAGTAAGAGCTTTGAGTAAATGCATTTTTATCAATCGGTTAGCAGCTCTAGCAATATACTTAGATAATCACAAATAGACTATCAATAGAATAATAACATGGAGCCTATTTCTTCTATAATTGAAATGAGTGATCTGTCTCAGCATCAAGGATACCCTTCTGAGTTCAATTAAATGGATCGATATTAAAAGTAAGATTTAAGTGAAAGCGAGAATATTTCAGCCATAAATAGGTGCTTTGATTATTTGGCTAGTTAAAAGTAGGCACTTCTATTTGAATGCCTTGAGTCATAAGAATTGAATAAAATATCAGCTAATTAATTGATTGGAAACTAATCTGATTCTTACAATTAAGACTCTACTTTACTTCAATGCATCGATGAAAAAATTTGCAATAGAGTCTAATTAGGTCAATCTAATAAAAATAAATCAATAGATCTCAGTAAATGTGCAAAGTAGATTTATTAAACTAGATCAAAGAAAAAAATGATTCAAAATGAAAACTCTAATTCAAATTTATTGCATAAACATTATACTTCTATTTCCTAATAAACGAAGGAGAATGAATTCTCAAAGATAAAACTGAAAAATTAGAGAGACTCTAAATTCTATGAAATTAAAGAAAAGCCTATAAATGAAGAAAATCTATTAAGTCCAAATAAGGTATTTAAGTATGATGCAACAAAGTACAATATAGATTAGCAGATCATTAGGTAGTTCAAAAATAATCATAATAAAATATCTGTTATCAAAGGTGATTAGACTTTTTCTCTGATAGATTCGGATAGTAATTGTTGATTTTCATATATATCTCATAATTAATTAATATTCCCAAATTTGCTTTATGGGGTTTTGGGGTTTTGGGGAGATCGGAA